GTACCTAGGGCATGTGGCACCAGGGGCGGGTCCTGGGTTTGGATCCCCCCTCGCCCCTTCTCCAAAAAAAATAAATAAAAAGAAACCTACTAAATTTTTTAAAATGTGTTATATTTTTTACATTTTAAAAAAAAATTATTGAACAAATTTGTAAACTTTTTAAAACTCCTGCCCCCCTCTACAAAATCCCTGCACTCCCTCACACACAGTTACAGGCAGTCACACGCACACAGTCACATGCAGACAGTAACACATATAGTCACAGGCAGTCATACACACAGTTACAGGTAGAGAGTTACACACAAACACAGTCAGTTACAAGCAGTTACACACAGTCACGCACACTGTTACAGGCAGACAGTCACATATACAGTCACACACATGGTCACAGGCAGACAGTCATACACATAGTTACAGCCACAAACACACACAGTTACAGGCAGTTACACACACAGTCAGTTACAGGCAGTCACACACAAAGTTACATGCAGACAGTCACAGGCAGACAGTAACACACAGTTACAGGCAGCATCACACACACACACACAGTTACAGGCGTGCAGTCACACACACACAGTTACAGGCGTGCAGTCACACACACACAGTTACAGGTAGACAGTTACGCACACACAGTTACAGGTAGACAGTTACGCACATACACACAGTTACAGGCAGACCACTACACACACACAGTTACAGATAGACAGTTACGCACACACACACAGTTACAGGCAGACAGTTACACACACACACACACATATTTACAGGCAGACAGTTATACACACACACACACACACACACACACAAGACAGACAGTCACACACACACACAGTTACAGACAGACAGTCACACACACACACAGTTACAGACAGTCACACACACACAGTTACAGACAGACAGTCTCACACACACACACACAGTTTCAGGCAGACAGTTACACACACAGTTTCAGGCAGACAGTTACACACACACACACACACAGTTTCATGCAGACAGTTACACACACACAGTTTCAGGCAGTTACACACACACACAAGACATACAGTCACACACACACACACACAGTTACAGTGACACACACACACAGTTACAGACAGACACACACACAGTTTCAGGCAGTTACACACACACACACACAGTTTCAGGCAGTTACACACACACACACACACACACACACACACACACACAGTTTCAGGCAGACAGTTACACACACACACACACTCTTATACTTACAGACAGTGTGGGCTGGAGGAGTGGATTCCCTGGCCTGAAGTCCTTCCCTGGCTGGAGGTGGAGGTGCAGGGATTTCTGCTTGCTGCACCTCCATGTGCAGCAGTTACAGCAGCTTGTAAGGGCTGTGTTAAGCCCCGCTCCCGCTCGCTGTTAGGCTACGCCCCTAAACGGCCGTAGCTCTGCCCCCTTCCTTCGGTGCGGCCAGTTCATCTTGCTGGTCTCTCCATGTGAGCTGTGTGACACCCCAGCTGCCATGGGGCACAGCTCACACAGCCCCCTCCAGCCCCAAGACCAGGGTCAAGGCACCCCCCTACCAGGTGGCACCCGGGGCGGACCGCCCCCTCCCCCCCCTTAGTCCGCCACTGATGGCCCCCAGAAGTTTTTTGAACACAGAGATTTAAAATCTGAGAAATTTGAATTTAAAAAAATTTGAAATATGTTGTTAGACTCTGATATAAACATTAAGATAGCCTTTTTTGGATTCACCATCTCTTGAATGACACATCTTCTCGGTTTAAGCATTATGCTGGCACATGTGGCTGTGTAGCTCCTGTATTTCAAGTGAGGGACAGATTGTGCTTATCAATTAAGAATGTCCATCTCCAAGTCCCTTCCTGAAAACTAGTGCCTTGTTTTCTTGGTCTCTATCAGATTCTCCTTACTGTAATAATTTGTCAACCTGATCCCCACCTGAGCGTGGTTCTCGAAGGAGTAATGTAACATGCTTAGCACATGCCCATATGCTAAGCCACTCACCTACTGCCCCTACTTCCCCCAGCACCTCATCACTTTCACTCCCTCAGGCATATTTGTAAGTGTTTCAGACACCAGATGCTGTAGCTCAACCCTATTCAAAATGACATAATTAAGCCTCACCCACTTTATGATGACATCCTAACAAAATCACATCATAGCCAATGCCCATTCTTGTTTTGGGAGCACTCATTTTATACTGCCTATATGTGAGCTTTGGTGAATATTAGTAGACCCAATTTAAAACATCATAAAGACAAAATTAGTTTGTGCAGAGATAGGGTCATGCTTCCATTTCCTGAGGTGCAGGAACATAAAGATGCTCAGTGACCACACCAGGAACCTTAGCAAGAAGGTTCTTTGTGCTTTTAGCACTGCCTCAATAACTTGATGAGCAAGACAGGATGAGGATGGCTGAAGGAGGCTTAGCCAGTGAAGAGTACATAATGTTCATGCAACAAACCTCTGGAAACATAGACGACAGTGGGTTCTTTTCCATCCAGGCTATAAGTGATGCCTTAAGAGTGTGGGGGTTAGAACTAATTCTATTCAACAGTCCATGATATCAGGTAGAATTTCAATTCCAGAAATAAAAGAGCTTTATTTGTAATTATAAGGAACACTGGTTTACAGTCCAGAAGTTCTAAAACAGTGGTTTCATTGAAAGTCTATGTTGAAACATCTGAAATTGATATCAGACACTTACTCTATAATTGTAGTTAAGGGTGATAAGCAAATCAGCTTCTCCACATAGTTCAGGTACAGCAATTCCATCAACCAAGACTCATAGGAGAGGATCCAACAGCAAGAGACAGAAGTATGCAAATGAACAAGCCTACCTTAGAGGTGGAAACCTTGTACGAAAGACCCACTATGATATATGAGGATAAAGAAAAACTGCAAAAAGTGCTTGCTCTCAGCCAGCAGCAGATTGATTTAGAAGATGAATAAGCAGATTTGCGCAGAGCAGTTCAGCTAAGCATGGAAGGTAGTCATTGAAACGAGTTTACAGATGCCCTTTCACCAAACATTTCTGAATCGTCCGAGACCAATTACTTTCTCGTCAGAAACAAAGCTGCAACAAAGGAGACAGATGTACTTTGAGAAGTAGCAGCAGCTAAAGAAAGATTCACAGACCCCGGCTGCAACTTAAAACACTCCTCATGACACAGATGCAACTGTGAATGAAGAAGACATGCTGAAGGCTGCTATGAATATGTCTTTGGATATAGCTGCATAGGATAAATGTCCTAATCCGTTTAGCCTGTGCACATGCTGTCCCTGTGTGAGACACATCTCCTCTGTCACACAAGGGTGGAAATATTAAGTCCACATTCTAAAGAACATCTGCTTGGGATATTTCCTGATGCTTTTATGAATGTTGTTTTTAATTTCTTTTTATTCTTCTTCATTATTGGTGTTGATGTTTCCAGAATGGCCTTCAGACCTGCACTTTCCCTTATTTTCCTGCTATACACAGATCTATGTATAGCACAAATCTGCTTAATAAAACTTGCTGTAAGGATAAAAAACATAGAATGTGATGGCAGATAAGAACCACTTTGCGCATCTAGTCT